ACATTGATAGCTATGTATATAATAAATCACATGGTCTTACACTACATTTAAAATTAATTTTCCAGTCACAGTATCAATACGTTGTGTTCTGGAACATAGATGAACATGGAACATAGATGAAAGTTCCATTTTTTTTTATTTTATATTTTCATAAACTAAAAAAATAGTTTATTGGAAAATGTACATAGATTTTAATGCTAGAAAACTAAAGGTTTCTAATTTTAGCAGTTAGTACAAGACAGATAAACATGTTCCTAGACTAAATTTATTTTAATTTACCATTCACACTTGCTACCGCTTAGTGTCATGGAACAAGGAGATGTTTTATAAAGTCCTATTTTTTTAGTTCATCCTTAAGGGGTTATAGTCAGAATTTTCAAAATATCCATTATATTATTATATTGGGTGAAAATTACGACGACTTATTCGGGCAAATAATTTCGGAGAACGAACGCATAATGAACGCATAAGAAGAACGTCATGGGATGCTCGAGAGTGAGAGTGAGTACAAAACAAGAAAAACTAAAACGGAAAACAGAAGGTAGGATGCGCGAGGGCACAATGTTTCGTAGATAACACCAATTAAAAATATTGGAAGGAAACAATGACACGAGGGTTCAACTTATGGTCCTGGAGTCGATGACTCACCGTAATTAGAAAAGAATTCTACTGAGTGTAAATGATGTGCCCTTTAGAAAAGTTTAATTTTCTAACATTGGTAGTTATGTACATGACAGATAAACATGATCATACCCTAATTTAAAAGCCGTAAAGGTCTATTTTTTAGTTCACCACTATATAGACTAACAAAATAGAACTTTAGAGAATGTACGTAGTTACTTATGTTGGAAAATTGAGTTTTCTAACATTGGTAGTTATGCACATGATAGAGAAACATGTTCTTAACCTAAATTTAAAATTATTTTTCCAGTCACAGTGTTAACAGTGTCTGGAAACAGATGAACATGGCGATACTGTAAAGTATTACTTAGATTTAGTTTATTTCAAAAGTTATTTTATAGAAATGTAGTACCCTAACATTAATAGCTACGTACACATATGTAGATAAACATAGTACTGTAAATTCTATTTGAATTTATCAGCCATAAAGTTGCACATGTGTTCTATATTATGTCTAACAGACATCCCTGCAGTCCTCTCTGGAAACCATAATAATGGTCTTTATAGATATTTATCATAACGGGACTTAATATTAGGGACATTATATACAGACACATATTTTATATACACAATACTATTTGTCGTATTTCTATGCTACGATTACAACTTTGCAAAACGCGCACTGGCTGAAAACTTTCTAATACTAAAATCTTATGACATTACGGACACCATACGTTTGGCAGACTAACTTGGCTGCCCGCGCTGTTCTCCCAAGTACGTGCATACACACTGTATGCACGTAGTTGATATTATTTTTTCATAATATAAAACATCAAGAGCAAAAATTCAACAACTAATTACACTGCAACTTTACAATGAATAATGCTAGCTGATATATGTGTATATTAATATTGTTTTAAATGTACTATTCACTAAACTAAATTACTTTTAAGAATATTATGGACATCGTAAAGTTATGTTCTGAATGATTAGTTAGATTTTTATAAAAGCAACAAGTAAAAGATAAACTGAAGAGATTCTCGAGTCTATCCATATAAAACAGGAGTGTGATGTTTGATCCAATCACACCTAATATTAAATGATAATGTTAGTTGTTACATGCAAACTTCCATACTGCCTTATTCACTGTTGTCTTGAAAGACCCGATGTTACTGACCGAATAAGTAAATATGATGCATAAAAACTTAAATACATATAATATCCAGGCAAGAGAGGCAAGTAGTTAACAGTGACAAAATAATAGGTACATAATTTGTTACGATAGAAAGAACAATATTTATTAATTAAATATAATTAGTAGAAATAAGAATTAACACTGAATAAGGAATATAATTGCCACATTACTGTATAAGGATCAAGGAGGAAGATACCATGCTGCGTCAAACCCAAATAATGGGATGAACGCAAGGCAATGATGACGATTATTCTATAGGGAGACATTTAAAAAGATAAAGATACATTGACGCGTTCTTCTTACATAGCTGAAGCAGATAACAAAAGAGGCGGTTATTTTAAACCGCATTGTAATGTCCTGAAGAATGTTTTTAATCTTACTTTATTTCTAAACGCAAATGCATTTTTTTATTAAACCTTAAATTATTACGTTGTCCACAACAAGCTTAAAGGTCGATTCTAATTACAATTATACTAACAACAAATATGAATATATATTGAATTTGCAACTGTTTGTGTATAGTCAACTTCTGACTCTAATTGAGGCCTAGCGCCTAAACAACTAACCACGTTTCCATTCGGATGAAAGCCAGCATTATAGATGGTTTTTTAGTGAGCAGTGAAGTTTAAATCTATAAAAGCGGTTGTAACATCAAGGCATGTTTAGTAACACTCATAGTACTATATATGTGAGACACATCAATTAATATAACACATATCTCAATCTATTTGTGTAATTGAACAACTATACATTTACTTATAATATTTAATAATTATCTAGACCAACTCTGAACCTGAATATGACTTTCTTTATTATTTCTGTTTTATTTTTATAATTATTCCTTTATTTCTGTAAATAAGTAAGCATCTATGTATTATAGATACAGAAACTAACGTGTGCTCGTTTAGTCTTGATAGGATCTATCTGATTAAACGATAAACAATTACAGCATATGTAGTACATGAAATAACATGATATTTATCATTTCTTATAACACCTCGTACTATTCCTCATTAACAGAACGGGCAATAACTATTGTTTATACTTAGTATACAAGTTAACTATTGACCATTAAAGAAACAATGCATACGTCAAACAGGGGCACACACCCTCCCTCCTCTCCTAGTCAAAAATTGTATTAAGTGAGAGATCTGTCAACAACCCCGAATGCAACCTTTCAAAAATCACCTTTCCTGTTTCAGGTGAGGAGGAAGGTAAGGTCATGTGCCACCCCTGGCTACACCCATGCGTCTGAATATACACTAAACAGGCTATTATTATAATTATATTAACGTTTAAACGTTGTACTCCATTCCATACAGGACAGCATGTGTGCATAAACTAATAGATTATGCAATATATAGGTTATTTCCATTTTGTTCTGTCTAAATAACAATGATTTCTAATGTTAATACATCGATTGAAACTTAATGTAACTGTCAAATGGTTGCGATACTCCTGGTGGATGTCAAATGTAGATGCTGTCATGGATGCAATGGAATACAAATACTAAATACTCTTATACTATTATACTTAAAGTAGTATATAACGGAACAGGTATAACAATCCAACTGAATAAGATCATGCTACTGTACAACACATATAGAGCTGCTTCGAATAAATATTATATTTGTACCTTTCATATTAAATGCTCCGGGTATTGATCATGAGTACAATTAAGTATGGAAGGTAAATATTAATGATGTGGTTCTATATTGCATTGTTGTACGCTTTCCGTTAAATGAACACCATATAATATACATTATTGTTTTGTGACAAGAATTGCATAGTTGATATCTACACACGAGATTCACCAATGATAACCATCCCATCCTGAGTAGCCATAGACATGTCGACGAAAAACTATGACTCCTGGTATATTCTTTATTTCAAATATTTATAGATCCGAAAATCAATCTATAAATCAATAATGAAAACAAATAATTATTGTAATTGTAATTAAGTAAAACTAAATAATTATTGTACTTTATAATAAATAGCAAATACTCTGAAAGACCGATACTCATTGGTGATCCCGCATTCAATGCCGAAATTTTCAAACATGTACGATTTGTAACCTGTCTGTCAAACATCTAATACTGAAATCGTCTTAACATACAACACAAGAAAACATTATACAATGTGCGTACACCGCACGCTCAAAAAGAGCCACTACTTAACTATAATCTAAGTTTAATAAGTACTTAACCTATGACTATTTAACTTCCAAATACTAAAAGTTATTGATTATGAGACTCTTATTTTTTTTTTATTATGAACATGTTTCCAAATAGTGGAATTCGCCGAACAACATATGTTTGGTAATATGCATGAGAACAAAACATACATAAATCTAGAAAACGATGAGGGATCCCATTCATAGTTGCTAGGGGCGTCGCAGTTATAAAACAAAAGTATATATTTCCTTTACAGTTATGCTTTTAAATTTCAGTGTTTGAATATTACAAAAGCGTAATATAATTATAGGCAGAAAAGGAACTATGATCAATTACGTGTCGAAGAAAAGTGTCTAGACTACTACTAGTAGAAAAACTTAATAATCACAACAACGGTTAAAACTTCTAGCAAAGATCTGGAAAAATAACACTGAACTTCCTTCAAGATGATCAAATAAAGGAAAAAGGTTCAATTCTAACATGAGACATATATAGTTTGGAAATTAATTCAGATGGTAATTGTCAACTGGAAATATTCTTGTCACTCACAAGCGCCATCTAGCAGGTAGTTTTCGCGTTTTGTAATTTGTAAATTTGTAAGCCCCCATCGTTTTGAACTTAGGCAACAATATTACTAATTTATAACCAATAATTATTATTCGTTGTAACACAAAAATTAAATTCCTTACCAATTGTAAAGAATAGTTTGTACTACGACTGTCAAATAAATAGTCTATTGAATTTGTCTTTTCAAAATGTCCTATTTTAGAGATCAAGAAGAAAACGTATGATCTATGTGATGTATAGTATGAGAAGATCAATAATTTATATTTTAGTCCTAATACAAATAAACAATGTCCGTAACCTTAAAAGATGAGCGTAAGTCAAGCGGCTTGAAGCATGTATTTAGCGCTTGCAAAGACAGTGACCGAGTTGTTCTATCTTTGTGTTATAATAAGCTAAAATGTGCTAGATGAAGCCGCTTAATTTTACACGGACCTCATTAGATTACAGACTAATCTTACAATCTATATTCTAAGCCCGACAAATTTACTTTGAGCTAATAACATTTGACTCACAATATCATGAACAAAAATACATGTTCATACATTTTGCTCACAAACACATTGGGCATAAGGAAATACCCAATTAAACAGCAGGTTCAACGTACTCACGGAAATGTAATGATTACATTATATAAAGTATTACCTTGTCATTCAATGTGGTGAAACACACCACTTATCTGTAAATCCGTGGGGTAGTGTACACTGTCTAGTCTAAAGACATGCCTCGTTCCAAACAACCTACATATTTAATTTAACTTTACACATACCGTTCCTAATTTGATTATCAACAAACTTCAATATCTACAAACACATATAACGATCAGCCGTCAATTTCCGTATGTTGTCTTGATATAACGGCAGGTAGGTGCAATACCTTTCATACATATTTGAGCAGGTTCCAGTTTCCCAACCTATTGGGTCTCTGGGCTCTCTGAAGCTTCAACGGGTAGAGACACCTGAAATATATCAACGGTTGTATTAGATAAATGCTAATATATTTCACATTGTAGGCCCGTCATTGTTAGTAGTGGGATCTAGAGGTTCCATTCTTTAGCAATCCATCATGTCAGATTTACCTCGTGGTCATCATCACTGATGGTTAGTTCCTAGTAAACCCATCAATACTAGTTACCTGATCAGATCAGGAGACATGCACATGCTATCAACGAATGTTAATTCCCTAATTAAATAACAAATGTAACAATATGTGGTAAAAATTGATGTTATGATAATGAATTGTGCGACACTTCGGTAATGAACTATCTCAATAGAAACATTGAAGGGCATATAATAGTAAAAATAAAACATTTAGCATCACAAAAATGAAAATTATTCCATATAAGTGTGCACTCTCAAAACATAAATTAACTAACCAAATTAAAGTTAATTACACTTCTAAATCTATCAAAATCCATGCTTATATTATAAACGCTAGAGAAACTATGACTGCCAGTTACCTTATGACGCATAAATCGTTGCATCAATTTTGATGATTTTCTGGTATAGAAATAGATTGAATGTATATAGTTTCAATGTGTATATTTGTATAATAATATTATTATACAAATATACCAACAAACACACTAAAATATAGTTCTTACAGCTTGTCAAACTTTACACTGTGATCAAGCCATTTGTAATTTATTAAATATATTTTACGGCACTCGATGTAACACCTTTGAAATATGATACATACGACAAAGCCTGGTATGATCGTACTACAAGAACAATAACTTTTTATAGCATAAAGTGTTGTATAGTATGTATATATAATATTTTATAACTATTCATACGTCTCTATTTTTAGTGTATACGTATTACAAACTACAACTATATTTATTATTAAGCATTGCAAAAAAAAGAGAATAGTGCATCGTGAAACATAATAAAGCCGTCAGCAGCCATTAGCACCTGTCAGCACCTCAACGGGCAATGAACTTCTGCGCGGTATGTGGTGGAGTGTCCTCTCCTGGAAGCTGTGGGAGGTCTTCACCATCCACTGTTGACACGACGGCGTGGGGACCTTCCGCCGGGCGCCGTTAGTGCTGTGCCTCGTGTTGGCTGCTGAGGCTAGATTTCGCAACTCGGAGGGTGCTACTGGTGCAGGGGCGGATCCTCTGCGCTGGGTCCAGCTTTCTTTTCCTGATAGAGTTCGTTGCAGTAGTTGCGTCGCCGAAGTAGTGACTTCCCTTGATCTTTTCTCTTTTGGTGCTAGATATAAATACATATTATTAAATAGAACCCTCAACTTTGTAGCTGTACAGTAATAGTTTATATATTCTCGTTTGTTTGAACGATGGGATAACTTTTGTATTAATGTTAAATTACCCTGGGCAGTTCACACAGCGCCGTCCATCATAAATATGTAGGAAATATAACAATCATCAATATTAATACAAATGTTTGTAATGTGCACGGAATCGAACCCGCAACCGTCGAAAGTAAAGCGATGTGCTAAACCGATAGATCATCGAGGTATAATTTATTGTTAACTAACTAACCAATTTGGCTTCGCACGGGTGTACATGTATTATACATACCTTCCTCTCGAATCATTCTATCTATTAAAAAACCGCTTCAAAATCCGTTGCATAGTTTTAAAGATTTGAGCATACGAGTACATTGGCACGTACGGACAGTGACTTTTTTATACTATGTAATAATGATAATGATTTATTACTTTACTTAATCGGCTGTATGCATTTGTCGTATGTTTGTATGCTGTAGCGGCAAATATTAATTTACGTAGTAACACCAAAATCAAATTACCAGAGGCGACGTTATCAGCAGGCACGGACTTCCTGCGGCGTGTCTCCTGCTCGGAGGCGAGAGCATCCAAGTGCATCCCTGTCAAATTCACTCTTAACTGATTCCCAGACGCTGCATATTCCCAGAGTGCCGCTGAGCTACTAAGACTCGCAGGCTTATTTTCTTTGTCTAAATTATGCGTACATTCAGCTACATCTACGTCACTATTATCAGAAGCGTCATCGTTATCAGTCTTATTGATATCATCCAACTTGACTAAATTGCTAAACACACCCTCTTTCCTTACTTCAAATTTAACTGCATACTCAGTCTTTACTTGACGAGACGGGTAGATAGCGTCTTCATTACTTGTGTGCAGGCGACGAGCGGTGAGCGGGGGTGCGTGTGCCGACGTCTCAAACGCCGGCGGAAAAGTCTGCTGGCGTATCAGCTTCCAAGATCCGCCTTCCTTTATGACAGTGTTCAGCCGAGTTGCCTGCACTGGGGTGGTGATTGAAGTTATAGTAGAATCCGGAAGAAGCTTTTCTGAACTGAGAACTCTCTCGTTGTCTTGGCAATGGTCGTACGAACTACGTTGTGAGTGTAGCGAATGTTCACTGCCGAACGGACTAGTGTTGCCCCTACTACGCGGCTCTGCTATAGACGACGCTCGACTCTTATCTCTACTCTTAAATTTCGAATCTTGGAACACGTTTAGTGGAACGGAAAATCGCCTTAACTGTTCTTTGAGACCAACTTGTTTAGTTGGATTTAAAGATCTCCTGCGAAGTGGTAACAGCATCTCGGAACTGTCAGAGATGTTGCCTGAACAGGACTCTAGATCCTCGTCTACCACGCCTGTGTCAGACGTTTCGATACCGATTTCTTCTGCCGTTTCTTGAGCCACCAGGGATTCCCATTTTGTCTGGTTGATGAGAAGATTTCGCAACATTTGCGCAGACAAATGGTTCTTGAGAAATCGGTGCCATTCGGTAATAAGGGGGGTCACGACATACTTGAAAAACCCTGAAATGTAACGACAATAAAAATATATTATCCGAGGGAATTAGAACTAAGGATAGGGATTGTTTAATTTCTGACTACACACACGTATGTACACTTAATCAAACGTGCATCTGCATATTGAGGAAATAAGCAAAATTTTATACATTTACATACAAGTTTATTTTTATACAATTTTTAAAATAAATTTGCTGTCATTACTACTAAATAAATAACAGTACTTTTCCGTGTTTTATTTCTGATGATTCGGTAGTGTTGCAACTGACATGATCTCGGGTAAGCCATCTGCTCATGTACTCGTTTCATACTTGTCCCAGCACAATATACTCACTATATCATTACATGCAAGTAAAACACTTTCCAATCATGAATTTTCTTTACTCATATTTTTGATTACACAATCTATAATGATATATGTTACTTAATAAATAATTAATAAGTCTATTCTTTCAAGGCACATATTCTAATATATATGTAGTTACAGATTATAGCGTTTACCTGTTTGGATCTTGGGTATAGACGTAGTATGTCGATCACAAAGCGCTGTTACTGGCAAGTTCAATCTGCGCTCATAGTCGCCTTGCCTAAAGAACTCTTCGCAGACTTTGAGACTCCATTTCCTGCTAATATCCCAGGGTCTGCACGGGTTAGATATGTCTGCGCATTTCAGCGCCATCTGGAGTACCAGATGGCGATGCTCGAGTTTTCTTAAGTCAAGTGTATTGGTGTCCAAATAAGTCTGAAATTCAATAGAAAACAAATAATTTAGTTTTTTGGTGATGTAGTTAAAAGTATTTTACTTATATATATTTATCGTCGTGACACGATATAACCCCAAACGGGGTTGACAGAGCTCCAGGGCAATATTTGCAGAGTATTTTGATACTGATATAAATAAAATACATTTTTACCAAATTTCGTGCAGATATGCAGAAGTTATGGTATCAGATGGTGACGTCACTCCTATTGGTTACATTGTGTCAACAGCAGGATGTAATAATGTACACTGTCGTAGACACTATTTAGTAGAATAACGGAGGATAAATGGCAGGTGTGACGTAATGGGAATTTCACGTAACACTGTGTTCATCTGAAGCTGTAATTTCGCATTTTCGCAGCTAAAATTACGAGTATAAAGAGAACAGATTTGATTTTTTGTTTGTATTGTAAAGTTGTAATAAACACTTAAAAATATCTGACTGATTCTTTATTAGATAGGACTTTTAATATAGGTGCTATCAAACAAATACAGGCCAATATTCAACGAATAATAGGGATATTATTTTAAAAAGTGTAATTTAACTATTATTTTATACATTAGCTGCGTTTACACAACACGTTCTTTGTCGTGTGATCAAGAGCGTGCGCAATCCAGCGTGGGATACATAACGCGCGCAATTGTGAGGAATTGCATTTAACTATTTTTTTGTGTTCCCTTTTACGCGTGAAGTATTTTCGATATACTTTATTTTCCAAAGACACGCTTAATATTTATAAATTATCAATAACTCTACAATTATATCTCTGTTCCATAAGCCAATATCTGCTGACATTATGCTATAACTATTTATTTTTTTCAAAAATGCGTTTAAGCATGCACGATTGTAATGTGTGAGCTGGCGCGGCGGCGCTTGCGGTTTTTCTCGTCCTGCTAGCACAGGCTCAATCTTTTCCGAAAAAAAAAGAAAGAGCGTAGGTACTTGTAAAGGTAGCTATAACATCTATTTCAGACGGCGAACAATCCAAAATATTTTTCGACGAGATTCATATGCACCTGCGACTATACTTAGTGAGTAGTTTTCATAGAACGGTACATGTGGTAGTTATACGAATAACACCTCACCTATGGTGTCCACACTAATTAAAACCACACGTAATCCTAACTGATATAAAAAAAGAGTCTATATTTGTTTGTTTATTTATTCATTAAACTGGAATTAGTTGATTTAAAACACCACGAAAACAAACTAAAATGACTATTTTAAAAATGTTTATTAAATTTATTTCAATACATTTTCTGTTCTATATTTAGTGATTTCACAGTTTATTAACTAGGCTGTCGTCATGAAATTTGGTATATATGTTTGTATATCGCTATTAGCATATATTATATTGGAATAGGATTGGACATAACTTATATTTACGCAGAAATTATACGAGGTCGCTGGCAGACGCAACGGTTAGGATACAAGTCTGTAACATATTTAGTATGTTACAAAGTTGTATCCTGACCGACAGCTTTTAAGAACACAGTGACAAACAAACAGAAACAAAAAACAGAATTGACATGTTACTCGCGGTATATTTAGACAGAGTTCAGGTAATTTTAGCCATATGGTAGGCGACTAGACATTCTCACCGACTGCAACTATTCATAACACACTCGCCGTTATTTTTATAATAATTTAGTATCATTCCTAATATTTCGAAGATTTGATAATATTATAAAGAGGAAAGTAAGAAAAAGAAGACAACAAATAAACTTTTTTTTTTGTTTCCACTAAAATGAGTACTGTACTGTACTACTTATATGTTATATTGTATTAAAATACGGATCCCAACTATAAGTTAACAAATATAACTAAGAGTATAATACTTAGTATATAAAAGTTAGTATGTGATAAAATGCCACACTGTGTTATCAACGTTAAGAATTAATTAAATTTAAAAATATATTACGTATTAAAAATTTTCCAATTTCTTTATAAATACTTAAAGAAACTAGAAGACACGACGAAAAATTTACGTCTTTAAATTGACGCTGTAGTCGATGGCAAGCATTGGGGAAAACCTCCAGAGTTACTTTGTAGCAGGGCGTAAGCTGCTACTCGTGAACACAAAGATTAATTAGTTGAGAAAAGTGAGAAGGGCGCTTTTCATTATAATTCAGCGAAATAAAAAGTTGATATAGACGGGACGGGACATAAGTTGTGTAACATTGTAACTGAGAGCACTTCAACGCCTTATGAACAAGCGAGCAACGTGAAAGCCAGCCTGTTAAGCATTCATATTGCGAGGCAAATGTTCATACAAGTGGCTTAAAGTTTTGTTTTTTGTATTTATACATTAATAGCGTTTACTATAATTACAATAGAAATAGTATAGAATACAAAAGCATTTATTTAAATAAACTAATTTAAGCACTTTTGAATAGTCATAACAATTTGTTTTTTATTTACCACTCGTTGGGAAAGCTGTCTCATCACAAGAAGAACGAGCAAGAAACTTCTGTGTTGCTCTTTTAAATAATCCTTGTAAGTTTACATTTACAAGTCGAAACGTGTGAACACAATCTACCAACCAGTGCAAGTTTTTTTGGGTCAAATATAAATATACAATAAGATTAAATCAGTCGTAGTGAGAAGAGCAGACCAGTCCCTACAGGCAGCATTCGTTCACGAGTATGACGAGTTAGCCAACACTGCTGGCATCATCTCTAAATAAAAATTGTTTAGCATAACAAGTTTATGATGTGTAAATACAAATTGCTAAATAACAAAATTGCCACAAATATTATTATAATCATTAATTATATTATTTAAAGATATGACGTGAAATGTCTCATCAATTATAATTAATACCGTATATCAAATACTATTTTAAAATTCAATAAATATATGTATATATACACACACATATAAGACAGTAAATTAGTAATTACTATTGTAAAGTAATTCCGCTGCTAGAGATTATTACAACATGTAACAACAGGTACATCAAAATTAATATACGAATAAAAAATTAATAATAAATTTAAATAAGTAATTTACTTTAAATATTAGACTTGTATCTTTTAACTAGTTTTTCTGAATGGTTTTTATGACTAGACATGTGTATTTTAATATATAATAATTAAAACAAACAATTACAGGTCAACCTTTAAAATCTACGTTAGTAGGTTAATTATCTAAAGGTCCCAATACACGGTCCGATTATCGTTATGATCCGTTCGTTCCCTGTCAAAATCCGTAGTCGGATCGCGCGTGTGTAGTGATATCACAACCAATTGGTGTAGTCGAACAAATAATGGAAAGATGGATCGTTAAGATTATCTTTTCGATTGATAGAAGCGATAAATCTATCCGTGTATGGGGGAATTAAGATAATTAAAATGTAAAGAAATGTACAATATAATCGCTATGTATATCATATTCTCGTATTTTAATATCGCATGAATGGTACAATCCTATGGAATTTACAGTCAAAATCTGCAATTGGCGTAAAGTGACATGATTGAACGCCTGCGCGTGCCGAGCCAACATCCAATAATATGACGATTAGAATATGCTATTCAAGACAGATATTATTTTTTTATAATAAATTATTTTCTACGTTGATAATGACGGAGTGAACCTAACATAAAAAATTGTAAATTAAATTGAGAAAAAAGTGTGTACCTAATAAAATAATTATGCTATACCCAGTAGAAACAGTACAAACAAACAGTAAAACTACTAAAACTGTATTGTTTTTAAAAGGTAAGTGTATGCAAAGATCATAAATGTTACCGTCAACGCAACCGTTCACCTGCGTGCCTCGCTAAATTTCAGCGACTACAACGCCATCTGGTTGGAGTGAGATAACCACCACAATATAATTTTATTTAATTATTATTTTTTATGCCTATAAACTTGAAGTAAATGTATAAATAGTAAAGATTAAATCTAATTATAATTATGACTTAAAATGTATGTTCTAGAAGTGTTATATAATTATGATTATTATTGAGTACAAGATATAAGTTCTGATTTGACCATAACAGTCCCACCTACCTACTGCCTTTAAAAAGAACCACCATATTGTACGCAGAGACCAGTTCTGTTTAAACGCTCGAAGTAAAAAGTACATATAAGTGAAAGAAGAAATTAAGTCTCGTTGCTGTTGCCCCATATAAAGTATAGAATATAACATTTAATTTATTGTACGAAAAAGATCATGTAAATATTTTTTTAATTACATTATAATGACATCTTTTTTATCTGACTACATGAGCATAATTACTATCGATATAATTATGTTAACAAGTGACGGTGGAAGTCAAAAGCTCAAAATTTGGGGGAAGAAATTGTCCAGATACTATTGGCCGTATCACTTATTGTTAGTACCATTGGCACATTAATGTACCTGGATACTGCCGTGGTTATTTTCTTGTAATTATGACACGATGTCCTAACTGCCTTTGTGGTAATCCTACCATCCCCAACCGACGGCCCACCAGCATTTATCTTTAACACAGGTGTGTACAAGATTACATATCTACTAATAACATAAAAGCTTATGAATTGCATTCGAGATAATTAGATCGTAATGCCTCTATAATGTAAATACAGTTTGTTAATTTACTTGCACCATCATAGACAAAATGGGGGCGATTTAACATGCTCCGTAAACAAGCGCTTAACTACAAATCTTTACACGTGTTCCAGATTGGCCCAAAAGAGATTAGCTTAAATCTATCGCTGTACAACTGGTTTCACAAAATAGCACGTAAAAGTGTTTAATTGACTGTTTATTTAGCTTGTATGGTCAACCAATGTAGTGCTTTAGACATTATAAAACACTTTTAGATTGGAATAATGCAGATCCTGGCCTAACTGTATACTCTGGTGTATCACTATTGGCGCAGGAATCACCCCATGTGAGGATGAAATCGGGTCGGTTAGCCAATTCTGGCGAGTTCACTAAGAATCAATCCCGATGATTTTCAGAGGTTATACTGACATATGTGGTATATTAGTA